TTTGTTTATCCTATCTATCCATCTGGTTTATGGCCTCCCACGTGGTCTCTTGCCTACTACTCTCTGGCATTCATTATGTAAAGGCGTCCTGATGGATAGCTTCGAACTAAATGCACAGCCAACCTTCTTGCCTTCATATCATGAGATATTGACTAACCAGTTTCTTTTAACAGTTCTTTTTGTTCCTTCTCCACTAAGTGTTAAGGTTCTGATCCCAGATAGGCCCTGTTATCGTACGGAGGACTTTTCTTTCGAATCTCTCAATTCTGCTTTCTACGATTGGAGCCCAGGTTTCACAGCCGTACAGCAGAACTCGGTTTATCACAGAGTTATACACCCTTAGTTCGAGATTTCTGGATTTCAGTACTCTTGAAAGAGAGAAGAAAGCTCTATTCGCAGGTTTATCTCTGTTAGTTGATCATTTATTGAGGTTATTGTGGAGCAGAGGTATTTGAATCTATCTACATTCGGGAATGGCTTTACATTATACCGAAGGTTGTGAGTGAAAGGCGAGTTTTTTATAATCAGTTTTAGAACCAGAAGATAGTTTCATGACACAAGCAATGGACCCCACGATAGTTCTGAGAGGCAGGCCCAGTCTGGTAAGGTCAACCAGCTGGCAATCGCAGAGGGCCCATGTTCCAAGAGAGGGCTCCAAAATCATTGTTATATATTTTTCTAATCCCCAAAATAAATGTTTTGTACATTATTATCGCCGTAGAATCACTGGGGGCTCCCTTGGAAGGGTACCGAAGATCATAGGTTTTTAATTATCTAGTACTCTGGTATGTTTGGCCCCAAAATAATTGTTGTGTATTCGTTTATTTCCGTAAATATTTAATATCCCTCTGATGGGTCCTCAACATAAATGCTTTGTACTTCCTTATCGCTGTAGTTCTTGTGCCCCGAAGAACGTTATTTTATATTAATTTAGTACGGTTGTATGTTGAGCTCCTAAAATAATGGTTTTGTATTAGTTTATTTCCGCTACTTTTTAGAGCCCTCCAACATAAATATTTTGTACTTTTTCATCGCCGTAGAATGATTGGGGGCCTCCTTTAAGGGCCCCGAAGATCGTTATTTTGTATTTATCTAGTATCGTGATGTTTGGCCCCAAAATTATCTTTTTTAAATTACATTTTAATCTCTGGAAACCACTTCAATTGGAAACATTTTAGACTCTAGCAAAGGATCATCCCAAATGGAGCCAGGACCTGGCCTGCTGAGAGGGGCATATTTTGACAGAGTTTTTAACTTTTGAGGAGAAGCAAATCTCGAGTGGCTTATAAATTTTCCGAATGAAAAGTTTCAAATTAGCAGACAAGAGGAAATACATGGAACAGAATGGAGCAAGTGTGATTGTATATGATCTACAATTTTTTTACTTTCACGGATTTTAAGAAGAGGAGAGCAATAAAATATCTTAAGGGTTCATGCACTATTGACTTTGGGAGGGAGGGTTGAGTACTCTTAGTACATTTTATTATAGCATAATTTTGTTGATCAATGTCTTCTGTTTTAAGACAGAGTTATTTTACAAATTATATTGCTGTTCATTTAATTACATATGCCTTAAGATTCTGTTATTCTCCACTCTCATAATACAAAATAAAAATTTTAGACTAAAAATTTGCACAGAAAATGTTTGTTTTTTTTATGTTGATATAATAATACAATTTGAACTACAGAATACATGTAAATTTGTCATACAATTTTTTTGACATTCTCCCTTTCCTCGTCATTTAGGCTATACAAGGTTTTCATGGGCCTGGAATTAAATGCTAGAGTTAAAGCTTTCCTTGGCACCAGGACAGGAACTATTTTATAGTTCATAACTTTAGTTATCAGATTGCAGGCCAATGAGAGGTGATGTGTACACCCGTTAGAACTCTGACCATCCTGTTCCTAAGTTATACAATTGGAGCAATGAGTAGTTCAAAATTAAATGAACAGTTGTAATGGAACAATTGGAATAATGCAGGTTGGACTGCCATTGGGCGGACAGAGGTACCCGAGAGTCGACAAGAGTCCCCTACTATTGTGTAAATCTATTTTTAAAACGATTCAATCTTTGTGAACAAAATTCTCCTATCTGCCAAGGAAAGTTGTGTTTAGAGATAGACCATACATATTTGATTTGTAAATTTTTGAAAATAATAAACAATTTTTTAATTATTTCTCTGTGAATGAAACAATTTATTCCATTTTCATCTTCTTTTTTTTTTCAATAAAAAATAAGAGGAAAGTAGGACATTAGCGATGGAGCTCTAATGTTAAAATAAATAAATTTTAAATAATTAAAAAAAAAAACTATACCACTCCAACAAAGAAAGATCTTGGATTCAGTACTTTGTAAGGATGTACTGTTTCAAGACCAATAGTTGCGCAGGGAGATGATTGGGTCTGGCTTACGCTCAATCACCAGGTTTTCCCCCTTAATTAAGATTATCCACTTATAGAAGGTGGGTGTTCCACAGGATGGTCTCCCGACACCAGGGGCGATTCACGGCTGATGACAAATAATTTTTGTAATTATTGGAATTTGAATTTAGAAAATCAATGCTTGCCCACTGAGCTAACTTTGATCCGTTTTAAGAAAATAATAATTATTTTAAATTAAATATATTTTACCTGCCCCAAGAGAAATTTTATATATTATATTATATTATCTGTTTAAATAAAAGGATATGTAGTAGCTATGCCATAAAACCTGAATTTCACCATAACTAAGAAAAAGGTTGATCAAAAAGAAATCTGACATAATAGAGTTAAATGGGGATGATTAGGATAATGTTTATACAATAAAAAAAGAAAGAAATAATTTATACAGTTAAGGATAGTGGGTAAATTCAACAGAAGAGGGAATGCAATAAAAGCGTTACATGCTAACATAAATCATTGAAAAAAACAAAAAAACAGTTGAACAATGCCTACTGTTCTTCAATTAAGTACTACAGTTTATATCAGAGTAACCCAATATTTAATTCATGTCTTACTCGAAGGCATCATACAAAATTTTCAGTGGGATAATAGAAACCTTAAGTAAAACAAAGAATGCACTAATGTATGGAACTATTTAAAAATTTACATCCAAATGTATAGGATAAAAAATATATACAGATAATTTTTAAAAAAATTGTAAATCTGTATACAGCAGGAAGTAGAGAAACTAATATAATAACAATTTATGGCTTTATTTGCAAGGGTCGAATTCTATTTTTCAACAAAATCAACCGAGCACTTAGTTATATCCAATAATGAAGTTTTATCGTCAATTAAAAGTGATTAATATATAATTCATATTTTCTGAAGTTTAATCAGTAGACAAACAATTTTATGTGCACAGAGGTTATTATGTCGGAGATACATCTTAAATTTTGACTAGGTTTAATGAAACCCATTTTTTCCGTCGACCATTATAAATGACCACCTCTGGAAAAATTTTTCTTTGTTGAAATAAATTCAGAACTTCACTCAAATGCTTAAAAACACAAAACATAATCACTCAAATACAGCTATATCATCAAACAAATCCTGGCAACTAACTCCTCAATATAGTGTTTGTATTCTTAGTTCATTACAAAAAGTCATTAAGCAACATTCTGTAAAAATAAATCACTTGGTACTAAAGATGAATTTTCCCTCAGTGAAATAAGAATATTGTTCATTTTGAATAGAGAATTTACATATGAAATTAGAGTTTGAGTCCTATTGATGCTTTAACTGTGTTGTTACAGTTAAAAAATAAGGTCAAAATTTATAAAACAAAGTTACAACTTAATGATAGGATAGCAAACTTATCAACATTATTTTATTTTTGTTACCGATAACACCAAATTTATAAAATAAATCCAAAAAATGTTTAACACAAAGCAATAACTAAAAAACATCTGCGGGATTCTTACACAAACATATCTTGCGATTTATCCTTTACAGAAAATTTCTACAAAACATAAAATAAATATTTTAGAAAACATCAAGAAGTGGAGAAAATTTAGCTGTGGATTTGGTATAGTTTATATATTTTAAAAGCATATTAAATTTGTATGCACTAAGTGTTACAAAAAATATTTAAAGATTTGACATAAAATTAAACATAGCTCAATAAAAATGCAATTAAGTTATAATTGCGCTCTCAATCAATCTCCGCTGGCTTTAGTACCAGTGTTGCGGTTGAGAGAATAGCAGGATTCTCCTGGAGTCATTCTGTTCCCTCGCCTGATTGTAAATAGTGTATATAGGTATGTATGCTTTCTTCTAATTTAATTTTTTTAGGTTATTTTATTTCATTTATTGTTATTTTGCTTTTTTTTTTTTTTTTTTTTGTACATATAGTGTGAATGTTATTACCTACCTCACTATAAGTAATGTCCAAGTGACAGATTGCTGTAATTGTATATGTTAATGATTGACCTTGTGGTAGGAGTCGTGAAAAAAAAAATAAATCGTATAACAACTAATTACTTATTCAATGTCGACATTTTGACCCAGATTGTGGGTCTTCATCAGTATTAAAATAAAAAATACAAAGGAGAGGAAATTATTGTAGAATATAACAGAATAACTGATGTAAATAAAAATCTACGAAAATCGGAAATGGTGAAGATCAACGGCAGAGAAACAATAGAATGTGATACAATAATCAAAAGAAATCAGATTAGTAACCTGATAAACCGATATACCAACCATGTAAAATCATAAGTTGAAATACAAAAAAAAAAAACTTCCAAATAGGTTAGCATCTTGAAGATTGTGGACTGGACTAATGTTAAATTTCACAATGAGTGGTATTATAAGGTTAAAACTAAAATCATGGAAATATTGGTATCATCATCGTGAGAACTATGCTTGACATGGTTTAAACCTCATTTGAATTCTTGGAATTTTCAACATCAGTGATAATAAGGTCATTTAAAAAATTAAAAAAAAAGGTATAAAATTGTTTGAAATGAGTTAATCAGAATAAATATTTATAAGGTTCTATGAAACAACTGCAATGCTAAATAATTTTACTTTTTATTTTGCCTTACAATTTACAATCTATATACTATATGGTCACCGTGCATCTAATCGTTATCATCTTTTGAAAAATGCCATTTATTTCTAATGGTTTATTTAAACACATTAAACAAAAATAATATTTTAACATCATGAATAAAGGTGTAGGACCTGAAATTCCGAGACAATTCTTGTCATGCCCATATTATAAATTGTTTTCATCCTGAGAAGAAATTATTTTTAATAATTCAAACAATATTTTACCAATTTTCATCGATGTTATCATATATTACATCATAAACCTCGAAGTTCATCAACATATAAAAATATAAACATTGATAATTTTTATAACTATATTAAATACTTCAATATCAACAAAAATAAGTTAAGTCATAGGAAAAAAATGAAGATGTTTAGAATTTATAATTTACATATACAAAATGAGAGTGGTAACTCAAAATAAATATTTTAAAAAAAAACCTACACCTTTTTTTCTAATTAAAGAACAAAAACTAATACTTTTTCAGTACCCTATTCGAAAAAAAAAAAAATATATATATCTATGATACAAAATATTAAAAAAAAAGCACTTATAATCAAAGGTGAGTTCCAATGCAAACAAAATATGTACCAAACACAGGTACACAGATAGGGGGGAAACAAAAATAAAAATAGGGAAACTACAAAAAGAAATACTCGACTAAATCTTGTTTGCATCAAAAATCACCTCTATAACAGTTTTCTCCAATACTGCCGCACTTTGACCAGTAATAAAATATCTCATATACATGTCTAATACAAAGATTCATTTATACATAAAATTGGAAAGTAAACCAACATGATGAGCATATACGTTAATTAATAATGTCACATACTAAACGCTTTTTTTTTTTTTTTCTTTTTCTTTATATTTTATTTATTTTGACAGGTTTTATATAGACACCTTGCAGTTGATAAAACTTCTCTAACAACTAAGTCTACCTACCATATTTTTTTATTTATATATATTTATATTCGAAGATGGGATGAACATGCATCATAAGGGCGAGTATTTTTTATAAAATAATGCCCACAGTATAAGGTATATATCAACCTGATTATGGCGAAGATAATATATACATAATACAAATTTTAAAATCAACATTTTTAACAGTATTCATATATATATACAAACAAATATAGGTATATATTTATATATATACGTAGGATTTACTAAAATCCCAATTACAATATAATATCATATCAGGTTTATATAACATACAAAATCTTCACCATAACCAAAGTGATAAACCTGGAGGGTATACAATCACTTGTTTATACTTTCGATCATTAACATAAAAATAATTAAAAACAACTTTTTTTTTGTATTTTTTTTCTTTTTCTTCCACTTTACATAAAATGACATAACTGTACACGTGGTCACTAATAAGGTTCACACAAAATGTCTATTTCACAGCCGCATTCTGATTAGACGCTACCCAAGAACTAAAAACGTCTCTGAAAATAAGTTTATAGATCCAATTAAGATAAATCATGATTTTAAAAAAAGAAAAGAAATAAAAATCACACATATTTAGAAAATTGGGAGATATGGTCTACATAAATTTTTAAATTTATAATGTAATTTTATAACCAACTATATAAACCTGATTCAATTAAGTATTTTTTAAATTATATTTTACAAACTATGATTTGAATCATGGTATTATGTCACAAGAGTTCCACACGGATTACACAGGGTTCACAATCACTTCGGTCACACTTGTTCAAGGAATCCCGAAAACAGACAAATGTTGCCGTCTTTTATGACATCAGCTTTTGCCCTTACACACAACCCCTTTTCAGCAGTTTTGAAAAACCCGTGTATTTCCATCGTAGAAATTCCTTATGAACAATTTATTAACGAATTGTGTATTTACTAATTTGTTAGTTATTCATTTGTATTATAACGGTAATTAATCTGGAAGAAAATAAGTAAAATGATGTTGCTCTTGGATAATAAATAATAGATGAATCAGAATATCTATAACTAATGAATAACCATGAAATCATTTGTAAAAATCCATCGAATAACGAATAAGGAATAAAATGTATCTATCAATCGTTATCTAGATAAATATAAATTCAAAGAATGCCCAATTCCAATGGGACCCGTAGATTTGCCACTTAGTAGGTACAACGTTAAGTAAACTTCTAATTTATTTTCTCATTTAATCAATATTATTTTTAATGAATAAATTAGCTGTGTAATTACTGTTATCTGCAGTTATTTTGCTTAACAATTCGAAAATGGAGATCTCATTGTGGTCATTCATAAAAAAAAAAAAAAAAAAGTGTTTATTCTGATGTTTTGTTTAGAGGAAGGAATTGACCTATTAGGAAACAACTGATGAAGAATTTCTGATAATTCCGAGATAATGAGTAATGGAAATCATCAATAAGAAAAATAAATATCGTGAAATAGCATTCAAAGATATAATAATTAAAGGTTTTTTATCTATTACTATTTCTTTTCTGCAGCTGCATACATACTAAACTAGACAGCAAAAAAATCGGCTTATATTTTGTTGTTTTTCCTATTTAGCTCGAATTAGTTGATTTTTTTTTGGGTGTGCCAAGTTGAGCTCATATCCCATGAGTGAATAGCAGGGCGCAGATTAAAAAAAAGAGAAAATACCCATAAAAAAAAACTTTACTTACAAATCCTGAATATTGTGAAAATTTAATTTGATTCTTCTTCTTAAAAAATTGGTGCAAAGTTAACGATAAACTTTTTTAGTATCGTGTGATGCCTCCCCTTGCTTGTATCACCGCCTGAATTCTTCTTGGCATGCTGCTGATTAAAGTGGAAACCTTTTCCTGCCAGATTTGGTCCCATTCTGCTACCACTGCGGTCCTGAGGCCTTGGAGGTCCAAAGGAGGGTTTGGACGCCTTCGGATGGACCTCCTTAGCTCGTCCCATAGATGTTCAATAGGACTGAGGTCGGGGCTGCGGGCTGGCCACTGTAGGGTGCATATAACAACCTCTTCGAGGTAGTCAGTAACCACATGGGCAACATGGGGCCGCGTGTTATCGTGCATAAAAATGAAATTTTCACCGACGAATGGGGCAAATGGGACTACATAATCTTCCAGAATGTCAGAAATGTACCTGAGTGTAGTTAGGTTCCCTCTTGGAAAAACATGGAGGTTGGTTTTGCTCCTGAAGTGATTCCGCCTAAAACCATTACAGACCCACCACCGTACCCAAACCATTACAGACCCACCACCGTAAGGCACCCTTTCAGAAATATTGCACTGTGCAAAACGCTGTCCCGGCCTTCTCCACACTCTAACACGGCGATCCGAAGAAAACAATGAGAACCTGGACTCATCTGAAAACATTACTTGCCCCCAATCGTCTTCTGACCAAGCTGCGTGTTCCCGAGCAAATGTAAGACAAGCTGTACGATGTGCTGTGGTGAGTTGAATCGCAGTAGCTGGGGCCCTCGATCGAAGGTTCAGCAAGCCGCCTATGCACAGTATCAACACTAATATTCACTTTTCGGGCAATTCGAAGGCGCTGAGTGGTTTCTACAGCCGCCTGAAAGTGGTTTCGCAGAGCCTGCATCGTAATAAATCGGTCGTCTGCGGGCACTGTTGCTCTCGGTCAGCCTGATCCTGGTCTCCTATGGAAGCTACCAGTCTCCCTGTACCTTTGGACTGCCCTACGAACAGTAGTTTCTGGTAGTCCTAACGTTGACTTCTCCCATCTTCTACCAACCCGACTATCTGGGCGACTGTTTCGGTGGTTAGAACCATTCTTCAGAACCGAACATGCACAAAATAATCGACAAGTGATGAACTGAGGGAAGAACAGCAAATGCAACACTAAGAGAAAACAGGGTCAAAGGTACGCATATTCGAATGGAGCTTGAGGTAATCATACTGCGTTATTGTTATGAAAGACTATACTAACCATCTCGAAACAACAATTCATTTAAAACAAACATTGGAACTGGATTTCTACACAAACACGAGGTGCGCCGGTTTTTTTGCTGTCTAGTTTATATGTATAACCTGAATTTCGAATATAAGTCAGTTTCTGCTGTTCTTACTGAACATGGTTAAGGATAAAGTAATTAAATGGCAGGAAAGTTATAGAAACTGACTAAAGAGATCGGTTCCCTTCGTTCTCTTTCAGATAAACCCAAAACCATTCAACACTCCAAGAATGAGTGTGACTGAGGTGATTGTGAACCACGCATAATCCGTGCAGAACTCATGTGAACTAGTACCAAATCCTGTGTTAGCAGTCACATGTTGTCACTATCCAATACTTCGATAGGTTGGAAAAAAATCTGGTATATAAGCTAGTTGAATATAAAATATTGTCTAGTAACAATGAAAAATAAAAAAATAATTCTTGCTGATAGTTTTACAATTTGGTAAATTCTGAAGCATAGATTTAGACAAAAGATTTTTTTTTCTTAGATTTTCAAAAAAAAATAGGTAAAATCAGAATAAAAGTACAAGCTTTTAAATTATTTGTAACGTATTATTACAATAAAACGGTTCCAGATTGACAAAACAACTACTATTTGAACTATTCTTTATCAAGAAGGAACTTGTTCATTAATTATACAATGTAACTTGTTAGCCTACTTCAATGAAAATGTAAACATAAACAAACTTTTAGGTGAATATACAACAATCAGATACTACCATCGAGATAGTCACAGTGTTGAACTTGTAGTAGATAATAGAGCATAGAAAAGAATTTCCAAACAAATTTAAAATGTTACCTGCAGTGAGTAACGACACATTCATTACTGCAATATTCGTCTTCCCACTCCGAGTTGGCTACAGCGATGTTGGTGCAGCCGGCGCGGATGCAATGATTCGGGGGTGGATTCACTGGCTCACCCCCGCCGTTGGGGGGCTCCTGTAACACCATGACCACTGAACAGACAAATTGCAAAAGCCCCAAGTCTGCAAGAACAGGCTCAAAACGATTTAATGTGGACCAGATATAAAACAAAATCTAAATATTGATTAGGCATGATTGTATTTGGAAAGCAATTGATTCGTAACTGAGAAGTTAACAAGGCACAGTCCCATAAAATAATAAGAGTACTACTTCTATTAAAATACTTCACTATTCAAAAATTTACTAAAGCCAAGTTCATCAACTACATACTTATGCTTACAAGGATCCTACTTGCAATCACATTATCAGCTAATGGAATTGATAGCTGGAAGTGAAGGTTGTAATGGTCACACTTAAATCCTTACCTGTCCATATATGGAAATAATGGATGGGAGAATATTAGTGCCAGAAGAACAGATATTTAATTTATTGGAATGAATAATTAGGAACAGATGGTGGGGTTCTGAAATGACAGAAAATTGAGATAAAAGCATTTTTTTTTTCAGAAATGATGCAAAAAGAAACTCTTGTCAAAGAGTTCAGTACTAGGCACTTTTTTATTATTAACTACAAGAAAAGACATTATAGGGAGGGCACACACACAAGTGGGGGAGTTAATAAGCAGTTTCTCACTCCTAAAAGGAGCAACAAATTTAACTGTCATCAAACCCTTGACAATTCCTTAATCACTTTAAAAAAAAAGCGAATATGAATTAACATTTACCTTCAATCATCAGTAAGACAAAATATAATATTAACAATAATAAGTTTCTTATGAGAATAAAACCAATAATAGTTATCACTGCTCAACTAATAAGTCAATTTTGCTTCGCTAAATCATGACACAACTTCTCAACGGCAAAAAATTATGCCCAGCCAATAAAATAAGTCCCAATGATTTAACATGAGGAAATTATTAACACTGATAATGATGGTAATAGATTCCTGGGATAAACAAATGTGGGTATAAAAAGGTATGGAAGAAACCTTCAGATATTTACCTGCTGCTGCATGTAGTTGTTGGGGTTTACTTGCTGCTGGGAAGGTTGGTTAACTTGTTGCATATGTTGCTGTTGCTGTTGCTGAGGTGACTGGCTTTGTTGCTGCTGCTGCTGTTGCTGTTGTTGAGGTTGTTGCTGTCCCATATGGCCCATCATGACCTGAAAATTATTTGTATTAGGAATGGGATAGTTGTCAATTGTCCAAAGCGTCAAGCACTGTTCATGTAACAATCATTAAATTGATTTGTATGTAATTATAAATTGTACAATATTTGAAATGCTTTTGATGTTAACTATTACCATTAATAGAGCCGCGCTTTTATAAAGAAGACAAATAGTAAGAACAAACGAAATACTGGAGCATAAACTCAACTAAAAGATAGCATCAGTATTGCAGCCGGTCTTTGCGTCACGGACAATGACGTAATAACATGGAGTCGCAACGCAGGCGCACTAGCGCCATATTTAATTTGAAATGTCTAAACTCAATTTAATTACGAACAAAATATAATAGAAAACAAATCCAAACGAAACATCACAAATACGTATTTTTCCTTCTGTACGTATATTTTGAATCCATAGGATAATTTCAAATAGAAAAAAAAGTTCAACATTTAAAAAATAAAGAATATTAAACAGCTTCCAAGCAAAAAAGAAGTAATGTAATCCATATTTCGTAGGCCTATTAGATCATTTATATCTCTTTACAGAAATTTATTGCCATATTATAAATAAATTTTCAAATAAAATTTAAATATGCATAATTACTTCAATACCCAACTATACATTTAGATCCATTATCTTAGTATTATTGAATAAATTATTGTTTACTTTAACTATTAACTTAAAATTAATTATTAAATTATATAGATAAATTAAATGGAATTAAATCCTCCAGAACAAAGCTGCCAGTTTATGAAGTATTTATAGTCATAAATTCTCAATAAAATTTAATTGAAATTTCATCATGCCAACAAAGATAGAAATGATCTTTGAAAATTTAAAAAGAAAATTTAAGTAACTTATAAAAAAATGTATACTTTATTTTTGTTGTCTTAATTTTCAGACGAGATAATTATAATTCTATTGAATGCACAATAAATTAAAATCCATTATCTTAGTATTATTGAATAAATTATTATTTACTTTAACTATTAACTTTATTATTAAAATTAATTATTAAATTATATAGATAAACTTTACTTAAAATTTATTAGGAGAAAACATGAAAATAATTTTTTTAGTATTGAAAATAACTCTTGAGAGTATTAAACCAGAGTCCTATCATCAATCATTGTTCTCAAGCATAATAGATAATGAGAAAACTTATGCTCAGAGGTTTTTAACATTTTGAATAACGTTATTCTAACATTTAGATTTATACTAGCACTAAGAATAATGTCATTGAGACTTAATAATATGTACTAACTTTACATGTTAGTTTTGATTACATCATATTATTTGTCTAAAACTTTAAATAGCGTATGAAATAATAACCTGAGTTGTTTGATTTTGCCTGTTGTCTTGTGGCATCATTGGATGTGTAGGCTTCTTCAAATGGTGTTGTGGTGAGGGTGCAGACATAGGTGGAGAAGGAAGACCTGTAGGTGGCGAATAGCCACTATATCCTCCTCCATATCCACCATAACCTCCATACATAGTCTCTTGTTCATTTCCACCCTGCTTTTCAGGTATATTTATTAATTTGGATAAATTGATAAAATATTATTCAAAAACAGCTCTTTAAAAATATTATAATATAAGAAAAAAGTTTATTTTAAATAACTAATACATTTAAGGCATGTTAAAGATGACAATAAATTCATTTCGTTTTACAAGAAGAATAGAATACATTATTTCTCATAGAAATATATTAAATCAAATTTACCTTGGAAACAAGACTTGCTCTGTAAGCTGCTAATGCCTTAAGATAATCTTTTTTTGCAGCCTCAGTTTTCTTCTTATACACCTGTGTAACCACAATTATTAATGGAGATGATAGATAACTGACTATACTAAGTATAAATACGAGATAATAGATAATCAGCTGACTGATGTTCTAACTATCTAACATCTACACTTATTAATGGCAACTTAAAACTTAATAACACTATTTTAAAAAGATCATTATTTGGATATTTACATTTTTGTGTTCTGCATCCAATGAGTCCCACATTGAAGCAACAATCTTTGACACCTCACCAAAACTGGCATTTGGATTTTGCCCTTTGATTGCTGCCTGAGTGTCCCTAAAGAATAGAGCATATGCCGAAACTGGTCTGAAAAAGAAACAAAAAAAATTAACTGTAAAAATTTCCATTTACAGAAAAATTACTTTGAAAATTTAGCTTACTTTTGTGGTTCATTGGGATCCCTCTTCTTCTTCTTCTTTTGTGTTTTTGGCTTTTTCTGGATTTTGGCTAAACCATTTTCTGCTGGTTCAGGAGATGGTCTTTTCATTCCAGCAACCTGCCAAAATATTACGATAAAATATACATGAAAACAAAAATTAATTCCTATTAATATTTTTTAAATGTTAATGGATAAAAGAATTGTGATAATATGAAGAATAATCTTTGTTAATAAATAAATTATTGAACAGTATTAATAATTAAGTAAAATAAAAATTTATGAAGAGACTCTTTTGTTGTGTTCAACGTGAATAATTAGAAATAAGTTTTCATTGTGTTTTTTTAAACAAAAAAAATATTAACATTTTTATAATCAAGAAAATAACTTATTATTATCTTTAATAATAAGGTCAAACCTTTAACACTTTTGGAGTTATTTTTTATTATTCATTTCAAAATATTTTTATAATAGCATTAGTAAAGCAATTTAAAGAACCAAAACAATAAGTGGTGCTTTTTTCCAGAAAAAGAAAATTTATCAATCAATCTCTCAAGATATATGTTAGTATAGAAATATTTATGTTTAATTTGAATTCTAGGACCCTTTAAGGTGATGATCAAGGAAATAATGGTTTCTGACTTGAATAATTTGATTGAAATTCAAATTTGCAAAATGAGCAATTTCTATTGACGATATTATTCATACCAGGTGAGTGTGAGGAGTAGAATCATCGCTGTCATCACTGGTTGTGGTAGTGTCATGGGGATGACTCCCCTGTGGCGATGCAGTAGGCCTGGCCTGCGGAGGAGTCGACTGGGGCGGTCCCATACTGTAGTGTTGCAGCTGCTGCAAGGAACTGGGAGGCAGCCTATATCCATTTTGCTGCTGGCCATTGTAGCCACTAAAAGAATACATAAGTTAGAATCAGCAATCCATATTTTATTTATATTATCTTTAAACATTTTTCACCGATCAGATTTATAATGCTGTGGAAGATAAGTTAAACTATTTCATCTACTGGTAGAAAACAACTTAAATTCATGAGTCAACTCTGATCTCCTAGATGATCTGGTATTTAATATATTATAATACAATCATATTTCTTCAAAAATTCAAGATAAAAAGGTCTACATCTAGCAGCCTACGTTGATTTCTTAGCATTGTATATTACACTCATATTTTATTATTACATAATTTTGTCTTAAAGTAATATAAAAATAATATATAGGAGTATCTAATTATGTGATTGTGACAAACAAGAGATAGACCAGCTAGTTAGATACTTATAATTATTGTTTAATTAAATTAAGACAAAATAATGTAATAATAGTCCGTAATATATGAGTAAAACATATAATGTAGTCTGATGATGAGATCAAGGCACCAAAACTTTCTAAATATGTTAAAATGATGTTGGCTAGATAACTAATAAATCAAAAATAAGGAAGCATAAGCCCACTAAGAGTAATTATAAATTTCTAAAGATTTCCATAAATCTTTAATTATAATTATTAAAGTACCTAGTCAAATGTTTGTACCAGATAATTAATAGTAATTAAAATTAAATAGTATTTGAGGAAAATATATTAAAACTCATTGATATTGATAGTATCAATTATGTAATACTATTGAATACTTACAGAAATATTAAGAAATGAATGAAGAATATGAACTGATTTCCAATTTTTCTCCAAAGTACTGTGAATAATTTTTGAAGAGGAAAAACTCACATTTGATCTTAGAGCCATAGAAACTTAATAAATCAGAGCCATGGAAACTTAATAAATTGTTTTTCATATAGTCCGCACCATACTAACAATATTTGAAAAAATGATATTAATCTATCCAATATGCCAAATTCGTTAGTTTTCAAATACATTTCGAAACGCTATAACCAATATTAAATCATTTCAAACTATCCAATGTGACACATTCGGTACAATACATTTTAATAGTTTTTGGTTAAGAATCTGTGAAGAGAAATGGTCCTTCAACAATGACGATTTCCAAACAATAAGAAAACGAAAACGTGGAACTAAAAAAAAATTCTGAAGATTTTGTTCCACCACTTTATCATCCATCTTATTATTGGCTCTGTATCTCATATGAATAAAAAAAAAGAATCTTATATCACTGGGTATGAACGGGGACTAATATCCAGAGTATATAAAAATTTCTTTAAGCTACTTTCTTCGAACAAAACCATGCAGGATAATTTTGCTGAGCACTGACAGCGAGTATGACGGCTAATTTCTTAATGTTTCACATTTTTAGTAATTTTCTAAATCTTAAATTATATTTACATTTTACATTTAACATTTTAGTTTACTTTTTCACATTTCTCTTTATATTATATTTATCTTCTACTTTTCTTTTTCTTAATTTTGTTTCATAATTTGAATCAAATTTGTAAATATTTTTTCACATTTCTTTTTTTATATTCAAAATATCATTTTTATGCATTGATATAGTAATTATTGTATTAAACTACAAGAATTTTTCATTTACCCATTGTTTTAAACCATTAGTTTATTTGTACTAAAAGTAACGAATCCTCTGCAATGAAAATGCATCGTAAAATAGCGATTTTATACGAAAACTGCACGTTCAATAGTCTGCCTTCCATCTTGTGATACGCTAAGCCAAAAACCCTATAGAGTAACGAATATTTTAAACTTAACATTATTAATATTTAATACTTATTTAAACCACACCAATGACAATAAACAACATTAGTGCACTTCATGAAACCTAATAAAATTAAAACTCAAACAGATTATTAAATTTCTACAGAAAAATAATGCAAAATTTGGTATTTTGTTCTTCTTAAAAGTATTGAAACCCACATTCGTTAGTTTAATATGGTACCGACGATATAAATACTTGAATATAATTTATTATTTATTTTTGTAAATTTTCTTATTATTTATCATATTAGGTACGTTTATTTATCAAACGTCCTATAATTCTAACGGCTTTAAATTAAAATTAACAATTATAGTAATAGTAAAAAAGTTAAATTTCATATAAAGCACTTAATAAAAAATATAGATATTAATTAGGTAAGGCAATTTTAATTACATAAAACAAAACCAATTAAACTGAATAAAAGCAGATCCATTGGCCATTACCATTTTTTTTTTTTTTTTTTTATCGTTTTCCCAAACTCTGATATGAAAATAATTACAAATAACGTTTTCTGTTTGCAAGAATATAATTATCTCTAGAACTTACTTCATATTGAGGTTCATGTTGTGCTCGTGCGGAGGAGACAGGAAAAGGGGCTGATATGGCGATGAATGGTCACTCATGGACATCGAATTGGTAGTCTGGCTCATAGGCATCGATATCTAAAATCGATACGAAACTAGTTAGAATAATAATAATTAAAATTATCTTTAGGTAAACCTGGAGTTAGATTATTTATAATTTAACCTGTGGATGGTAGCTGAGATTATTCTGTTGTTGGCCGCCATTGCTGCTTTGATGTGGGTTAATTGGGGGTATGTCGAAGTCCTCATCTCCGAAACTTGGTGTGTGAAATGTCTGCAACAGTTAAATATTGAATATTAAACAAAGGACACTATTTTCAAGCCAACATTTCTCATGAAATGTTTTATTCACACCACAGGCGGATCTACAGGGGAGGGAGGCTTTCGGTCTGAAGCCCCCCCAAAATGGTAAAATATAACCATGTTTTATAGAAATAAAATACTAAAAACTATCTCTTAAAGTAATCAATTACATTTAATAGAACTTCAAGAATCACTTAAACACTATTTCATACAGGTAGTTAATTTCTTTCCTTTAAAAAAAATAAATAATAATTGTCGTTATGTATATATGAAAAAAGAGGTTTCGAGCTGAAGCCCCACCCCAAAAATTTAATCCTGGATCCGCTAGTGATTCATACTAATTATAAATTAAGTCTCATCGATTCTTTCAAGCCAAATGTAATATGTGAGATACGTGAAGAGGGCTCTTTTTTTAGAGGGCTAGTAGAGATGGCCATATTCAATGTTTTACCATTGGTAGTATCTATTTCGATATTATCGACTATCGATATCACATTTTCGATATTTTAATATTAAAATTAGTGTTTTCGGAATGCGCTAGGAATTATTTACGAATCTGATTGTTAGAAAAAATAAATTATGCTGATCTTACCTGTTTCATATAGAAGTGCGTAAAAGTAAAAGAACTAGAAAATTAATTTTACTAAGGAGAGTAGAAGAATTGATATTTCCATTAATTAATTTATAGAGAAAAATAACATATTTGTTTTATGCACCTATGCGCTAGAGAATCAATATTTATATTGATATTGATAATTCAAAAATGTAATGTCACTGGAAATATCGACTATCGATATTTTAAGCCCGATGTTTTGATGGCATCGATAGTTATAGGCCGGACGATATAGATTATTAATTTAATCGATTAATATCGATGGAGATATCGATATTGGGTATTCGATATCCCATCCTTAGCTTAGAGTATAGAAGAAGATACAAATACGCTTACTACATGGTGATTCAATTGAAAACTGTTTATTTACATTTTTAGTTAGTGACTGCGGTGTTGTTTGTTGAAATTAGAATTCTTCTTTGTCGGCTTCGGAATCGTGATATTGAAACAACTAGCGGATCCAGGATTTAATTTTTTTGGGAGGGAGGGGAGTTTCAGCCCGAAAGCTTTTTTTTCATAAAAATAACAATAATTACTTCGGAAAAAAAGAAAGAAACTAAATACCTATATGAAATGGTGTTTTTAAAGAGAAATACCTATATGAAAAGAGAAAATTTTTAAATATTTTTTTCCATAAAACATGGTTATATTTTACCATTTTGGGGGGCTTCAGCCCCAAAGTCCGCCGTGATTGAAACTACTAAGTCTAACTCCAGTTTTAGTCGTTATAAAAGTCATTCTGAGAACAACTTAAGACGAGAATACTTTTTATTCTTAATAAATAAAAAGTGTATTTAGGCAATTATGTTCGTTATAATGCATCCAAGATCAAGGAAAAACATGAAATTAAAGCTTTGCAGCAGTCAATTGTAGCTAGTTTTGCTGAAAACACGTGTACTTTTATGTGACGATAGAAAATCACATCATTTTTTTACACAACTTGAGGCGAATCTCAATTTTTTCCCATATAAACCTTCTATTTAATTAATATGTTCTTAAAGCTAATTAAACAGAGAAGTTTTTCTTAAAATGGGGTACTTGATGAATAGTTGGATGACGATAAAAAAAAAAATTGAATAATTTTTTATTTTTTTTAAAACAGAACTTAGTTTAGCCGCTAAAAAAGTCCTCTATAAAAGGTTTTAACAATGATAAACTCAATCTTCATTTAAATTAAATTTTATCTAGTTTACAGTGAAGCAAGCGTTAATTACTTAAATTAAACATTTCTGTAGTCATTGAAATTATTTCGGTTTTCTAAAACAAGTACGATAAGATAGGGTAACTTTGGGACAGCGGGTAAAATTTAGCTTGAGCTGATTCACTGCGTTGGTTAATTCTGCAAAAACGTGCTTTGTGTTGGCATGTACTGCGCTACTACCTTGCGGCACACTACTCTTGAGACCCAAGTGAAAGTTTCATGAAAACAAGAATTTTGAAAAAAAGCAATGGAAATAAATGAAACATAACTGCACAACGAGTGCTGTGAACTTGGGTTCTCAAACTGCCGCAAGGAAGTATTAGTACATGCTTACACAAAACACTTTTTAACAGACTGAAGCAACACAGTGTATCCACTACAGAATCACCAGAAACTAAATTTTTCCCGCTGTCCCAAAGATACCCACCCATTCCCAAAGTTACCCCATCTTACGGTATGTAATTACCAGTGGCGGATATATTCAGTGGCAGACTAGACATCTAGACTCTTGCCTGGAAGTGCCCAATTAAAATGGATTTTTATTTTTATATTCTAATGAATTTGTTAGTATAAAAAGGTCAATCAAACAATGGTACCGAATTTCTTGTAATACTTGGATCAACTACAAATCTATTTCTGGTTATTGCGAGGTACACTTCAATATACTCGAATTTGAGTTAATAAACTGTGAACGAATTTCTTGTGGATGGGGACGACCTGGACTTCCAAGAGGTGGCGATACGTTGAGAATAAAAATAGAAAAATATATAATATTGATGATAACAGCAATATTTCTATCCTCATTTCAATTTCTGATTCATTCCTTTGAAAGACATTACATTGATTAATAGCGTAGCAAGAAGTATAGATCCTGGAAGAAATCGAGAATGAGGCACCTTATTCTCCCTGGAGCAAGAAGATCATATAGGATAATAATTTTTGAAATACTCGATGGTTGACCATTGTATATTATCGAAGAAGGAGATGGTCCGGTTAGCGGTCATAAAAATACTTAAAATAGTGAAATAGTTTTAAAATAAAATAATTTTTTTCGCTATTTCAAGTATGACCGCCATCCTGATGAACCATCTCCTTCCTCGATAGTAATTTTTGAATTTCTTGAATCATTAATCACTACAGCAGCAAAGATAGAGATCAAAAATCTATTCTGGGTTCAAACGTTCAACTCAATTCACTCAAACTGAAAATAAATGCAACGAGAACAAACTAAATCCATTACGTTATGAAGATTGGAATGTTATGGTTTCCTAATTTCTGATATTGGCCAAGATTAGGATGTGATTCATGTACGGTTGATCCCAACGCGAAAAAATCTTATCATAATCAAAACCTGAAGCAGAAATCCAGTGACACCCTTATTAGGGTGGAGCAACCGAGATAATCGCCCCAAGGCGCTGTCGATCTTCAGGGATGCTGGTCATTTGTTAGAAATTAAAAAAGAACACAAAACGTATTAAAATAATTAAGTTGAGTTTATCAATAAAGCAGCTGTATAAGAAAAATATTAAATGAAATAAAATTCAAATATTGCATAACATAAAAGAGCTTAAGAAATAAATTTAATTTTTTTTTTAGGAGGAGGAGATGACGTCACCGCCTGGGGCACCGTATGTCTAAGGACGGCACTGAGAATACCCTGCTTGTGTCAATTTACTTTGCAGACATTGCCGAATTATAATTTGTCTTAAAATTTAATAATTTTTGTTTTCTCATTTTGTGATTATAAATTTATTGTTATTTCTTGTACATTTTTCGAACTCGTAGAAATATTTTTAGGGGAAAAAAAAAATCAACCTAGAGAATTGAAGTTTGCTCGACCCTCAGAGTCTGTGACAAGGTGCCCCTCCGTTTTGATGCCCCTGACACTGACAGAGGACTAGTTTGTATGTAGAAATCTTTGTTTCTAACTTCAGTTCCAGTTGCTGTTAGAAATATTCTATAGATATTTGAGATTCATTGGCGATAGGTGGAAAACCAAAGATATATCTTGGTACAAATTGGTGGTTTGTATATACAATCGGTATTACTCGCAATCATAAGAAAATAGACAAAGGACCGATTTAGAAGAGAGTAAGAGAAAGCGTCTATTAAAACTTCATCCCGGACGTCAGAAACCCACGTGACGGCTCTGATACAAACAATTAATTTTATAATAATATTTATTTTGATATTTGCCGACGTTTCGACCTGAAGTTCAGGCCTTCATCAAGGCTGTCTCCACCAGTTTTGCCCGGAGAAATTAACGGAGAAATTAATTTTATAATATATAAAAACCAATACAATTTAACACACGCTTTTTTAATTAATAATAAAAATTAAATTCAAATACTAATTAAATATCTGATTTTCTATTTTTTTCATTAAGGAATATTTCACCTAATACTCATACTAAAAACTGAAATAGCAGTAGATCTAAATGGATGATATTAATAAAAAATGTCTATGATAGATAATAACAAAAGGCTTAGCGAACAGGAAGGTTCGATGCCGCCAATCGCTCATTTGACACCTCTCTCCGCCTCTCTTCGCCGTCCAAACCCAGTCTCTTCAGATCGGCTTTAACTCAATCTTCCCACCTTCGCTTTGGTATTCTTTAGTTACTCCCCATAATTTTACAAGCTCATTTGATTCACCGCGATGTAATCACCTCAATTATATTAACCGGATACAGTTCACGCAATTCGGCGTTGTGAAATCTCTGAACTCTCCGATTAACTCACTCTTCTTTGGTCCAAATATTCTACACAATACATTACTTTCAAAAACCTTAGGGCGTTTATCATCCCTTAATGTAAGCGGCCACGTTTCGCATCCATAAAGAACTGCAGGCAAGACAATGGTTTTGAAGATTTTTGTGTTTTTACCGGCCAGAGGGGCGAGAGCTAAGTAGTTTTGTCACAGAAAAATAACAAGCATTTCTCGCTTTCAGCATAACCTTAATCTCCTCTCCAATTTCGTTTTTTCTAGTTATCCTAGACCCTAGATACCTAAACTTCTCTAGATGTTCAAAGATATTACCTTTTATATCGATATCACCTGTAATATCGCCATTTTTCAGCTAACCATATATTTTGTCTTATCCATGTTCATTTCGATCCCTAGTTCTTTACCAGTTTTCATTAACATTGTCGTATTT